CATAAAAGTTATATACCATTTTGAAATTTTCTCAATATTTATTCCGTAATTAATTAAAATATATAAGTCAATGAGCTCACAAGAAGCGGTAGGACAGGCTCTGTGTGTGTAAAAGAAATGGCTTACCTCTTAGCAACGATGAGTAAACAGCTGATTTCGAGGCGGAGTAACAAACGACACGTATAAGTTATTCCGCCTCGAAATCAGCTGTTTACTCATCGTTGCTAAGAGGTAAGCCATTTCTTTTACACACACAGAGCCTGTCCTACCGCTTCTTGTGAGCTCATTGACTTATATATTTTAATTAATTACGGAATAAATATTGAGAAAATTTCAAAATGGTATATAACTTTTATGATTATTTGGACCCGTTCTATCCGTACACGGCGGTTGCTCCATTAGTTACCGGACACCCTGTATATATACACAGGGTGTCCTGAAACTATCGCATGCTATTTCAATGGCAGATTCTTTAGAACATTTCAAAACGAAAACTTTCACACAAAAATGTCGAGGCTATAATAGTTTTCAAACGGGAAGCGATTATATTTCACCAATGACAGGGCTGAGATTTCGTGCGCTCAGGCACGCCGAAATGACAAATGATAAAGGTGCTTCTATGAATGTCACTTTTCTTACGATATTATGATTATTGTATAAATTTACAATAACATTGTCATAATATGTTTTATCGCTTCTCTACGCATTGCATTAATATATTTTTTATGCGAATAATAGTTGTACATCTTAAATATGATTCAAGTAAAAATAACATATTTCAACTTAATCTGTCAAAGTATCGATCAATTACCATGAAGGTGTCCACTATTCTATACGGTGTGTACTTTTATCACTTGTCATTTCGGCGTGCCTGAGCGCACGAAATCTCAACCCTGTTATTGGTGAAATATAATCGTTTCCTATTTGAAAACTATTATAGCCTCGATATTTTCGTGTGGAAGTTTTCGTTTTAAAATATTCTAAAGAATCTGCCATTAAAATAGCATGCGGTACTTCTGGGACACCCTGTATTCGGTAATAAGTAAATTCCACGATAAAAAAATGTTCATCCGAAGCAATCCATTTATCGAGACACTTTTTTATTTCTTCATATGTTTTGAAGTGCTGGTCAGCAAAGCCGTGCTGCGTTGCAGCTATAAAATTCTGTGCGATTGATTGTGTGCGCTAAATATATTAATAATAATAGTAAAGGAGATGCTGGAGAAATTATCAAAAATAAAAAAGTAAGCCAACAGTACATGCTGTTGTATATCAATATGTTCATTCAAGAGACATTTCTCATCTATGTTTATACCTAGACATTTGACCATCTTTTTCCTATTTATATTCTCGTTGCCTTTCCGAATTGTAATTTGGAATTTCTTATATCCTTTTTGTACTGATTGGCTAGCTATTCTAATAGATTGCCTAAACAGTATACATTCGTATTTGTTTATGTTGACTCTGAGTTTCTAAGCATTATAGTAATTAAAGATTTTTTCTAGTGTAGTAATTAAAGTTTTTTTCTAATTTCTTTTGTACCTCGTGCGGTTTATTATCAGTATAATATACGATTAGATCGTCTGCGAAGGTCAGTAACGTGCAGTCAGTCTTATTCGGGCCGTATAGGTGTAATATATCAAATGTGTAGATGTTAAATAAAAGTGGAGAATTTATTGTTCCTTGTTGTAGGTCGTTTAGAAGTTTGTGTTCCTACTCTGATTTCTCTCCGTTACTGACTATCACAAACGACCTATTCGTTATTATATTCCATATTAACTTAATCAGGTGATTCGGGATTTTCTTATCCTTAAGTCTACAAAAAAAGAATTAGCTTCCAGAGCTAAAAAATAGCTGTGGCAGATAAGATGTGTCACTGAAATAGGGACAGCTAATGTCGATACTACCAAAGCTAAATTTATTCGTTGTTAAACTTAGGCGCTACAGCGAGAAATATTAGCTGCTAAAAATAAATGATTGTAGCTGTACGGCAAACTTCTTTAATATATACATACGATAAGAAATTTAGGAATAACTGCCATTTTCTTAGCTACTTGAAATAATGTGCATTTTTAATGTCACCTAATATATTTGTATTTCATAGCGAATGCATTTTAGCTGTCATAGCCAATTTTTAACAGTGACATCTAAACAATTAGCCTTTTGACTAAGTTTGAATCAGCTACCGCGGTTTAGCTGATATTATTAAATCATTTTTTTGCGTGTAAAGAGCAGCCCGTCGAGCCATACAGTATCAAATGCTTTTTTCAGATCTACTAGGTATGCTCCCATGCACTTCTTGTCCTTTAGAGCCCAGTTTACCCATTTGAGACGATTTTATTTATCGCATGCATTGTTGAATGTTGCTTTTTGAATCCATATTGGTAATCGTTGATACTTGCCAATCTGTTTGAGTTACTGCAAAACTTATTTGACACATAACTACGCAATTTTTCTTGCTCTTGTAAGCCAGATAATAATAATAATAGCACAAAAAGACGATAAAAAGCTTTGAAAATGAAAAACAAAAAGAAGGGATAGGTTGTCGCGTTCCATTATTAGTTTTTGAAAATTATCAAAAGAAGAAAAAATTATGCCAACAGTACACGGTGTTCCCAAGCGGTCACCCATCTAAGTACTGACCGTGCCCAACGTTGCTTGACTTCAGTGATCAGACGAGAACTGGTGCTTTCAACGTATTTTTGCATTTCAAATAGTTTATTATGTCGTTACTGTTACAATAATACATCATGAGTCCAATAAACAAAACAACTCCATCCTTATATCTAGTGGTTAGTAGACTGACGGCTCGTTGAGCACTCGCAGCTAATATTTATCCTATTTTGACGAATTTTTAAACTTAACTCGAATTGAGATTCTCCGGGGAGGTTTATGAGTAAACATGAGTGAGACTAGCCAGTGAAAAAACTTAAACGACGTATGATAAAAAAAAACACTGGTTAAATAACTGTTATAACTACGGAAGACTATAAATTATTACTAAAACTAGGGATTAGAATACTGATGAAAAATGAGTTGCTAAAATGAACTATTTACAATGATTCTAATGAACGATGTACAATATAATAAAATATAATATATATTACTATGTTTATTAACTACTATAAGA